TAAGTAGCATCTCAGGCGGGGCTTGTGCTGAACCCTATATGCCAGCAAATGCATGCTTATATTCAAATAGTCACATTATAAATAACTTCACATTGATTTAGATTAGATTTTGCCCCCAAATGAGTTTGCTGAAAACTATCCAATTTCAGAACCTTTTGGATTTTATAATTGGGAAGAAGGAATTGGGCCTTCTATAAGAATTAATTTTTGGAGAAACTTCTCTCCATTGAGACCCTACATAACGAGCCAGCTTAGGGCAGAAGCTGGCCAGGAGTTCAGAGAACAAGGAAGCTGACCAGTTTCTTAGGCACCTGCAGCACGGACCTGAGTCAGAGCCACAGGGTGATGTGAATATAGGGAGGGAGAGGTGACTTCTTGCCCAGGGGCAAGATCTGAGCTGGGCGCTGGAGGATCAGTAGAAGTTTGCCAGGCAGAAGGGCAAGAGGGGGCCTAGACCATGGTAGTCTGGGGGTGCCAATGGACCCCTTCTCAGAGAAGTGTTTGTAAATGAATAAAATAGATATGATGACGAGGAAACCAATTATATAGAAATGCAGTTAAAATATTTAATAGTGGTATATTAATATATGTGCTTCTTTATTAATGTATTAAATAGCCAAGCCTAGTATCAGATCTAACTACTAGCATCATTTTGAAGTAGCAATGAATATAAATGATGTTTCAAGATATCTGCAGTATGGTAATGTGATACGAAAACGTTGTGATGTCTGTCGGTGACAAAGTCACAGTACTGTCAATATACTGTGGTTTACTACTTACATTCAAAATTGAAGGGAATGCTAAATGTTAGTTAGGGGTCAGAGAAAATAAAGATGTCATTTTTTTCCCCCAAAACGTTCACAGACCGCTGGCTTCTACCCAGAGATCTCAGGCAGCAGGTTAAGAAACCCTGGTGTAGTCAGAGAGAACTAGCTGGGAGCAGGCTTAGGTAGGAAAACATGGAGAATATTCTAGGTGAGCAGCCTGAAAGGGGAGGAGGCTCGATAGGAGAAAGGGCTGGAAAGGTAGAATCTTGAGATCAGACCCAGTGGATTTTACTTGCTCATCAGAAAAGATTTTTATAATGACATTTTATTTTTTATAATAATGTGTTATAAAAGGAGTGCATGCTCATCATAGAAAGTAAAGAAAAAAAGGGAAGAAAATCACTCAGAGTTCCATTGGCCAAGGCAATCTCTATTAATATCCCAGTTAACTAAGGGTAGCTGTGTGGTGCAGCGGTTAAGGAAGTGACGTTGGGGGTTAAGAGTTTGAGTCCTGACTCTACTCTCTAACTTTTTTGTCCTGTTTTCTCATCTGTAAAGTGAAGGTGACAGTAATAGTAACCATCTCATCAGGTTGTTTCAAAAATTAAATGTCAATTCATATAAAGTGCTTAGAATGGGCCATAATTAGCATTCAATAAATGTGGGCTTTTGTAATATCTGCTTCCAATCATCCCTCAGTGCATAACTATTTTCTGTATTTGCTTAGTTGTAACCTTCATATAGATATACATATAATTTTATATCCTGCTTCTTTCTCTTAATATTGTGACATAAATATTTTTAATGCTATTACAAACTGTTCATAAGCATTTTAAATGCCTAAATACTATTCCATTTGGGGATATGACCCATACTTTAGATAACTATTCCTTTATGATTGAACATTGAGTTTGTTTCCAATTTTGCATGGGAAGTGTGGAGCAGGCTTCAGTGTGGTTCAGCAACTATTTATTGAGCATGCAACTCCGAGTCGGGCTCTGTGCTAGGTATAGAGGAGGCAGAGATCAATAAGACAGGCTTTCTGCCCTGCAGGAGCACACAGCCTTGTGTTTTAGGACTATAATTTGCCTCACATTTTGGAGAATGGAGTGGAAGTGAAGAATCCTAGAGACAGAGAAACCCCTTAGGAGGCAGGTAGTAAAAGGGGCTGACCTGGAACAGTGACAGCGGGAGTGGGGAGGAGGGGACAGTAGGGATGAGCAGGTCAAATGGTCAGAACCTGGCCCCTGATTGGTATAGCGAGTGGACAGATTCAGTGAGGGAAGGCAAGGCAGCATCAAGGGGGACTGTGTTTGGAGCTGGAGGAGCTAAGGGGGTGGAGTGGAGTGGTTAAGAGCATGGGCTTTGGTGCCAGGTCCATCTCCAAGTTCAAGCCCAGCTCTACCATGTATTACCTGTGTGATCTTGAATAAGTTACTTAAATTCTCTAAGCCCGTTTCCTCATCTGTAAAGAAGGGATAATAATGAATCTTCTTCCTAGAAGCGTGAAGATCGAAACAGATTATGTATGAAGAGTAAATAGCAAATATGATGTCATGGGCATAGTAACAATAAGAGTCGTGTAGTATGTCAGTACCACTCTAAGTTCTTTGTATATATTAAGTCACTTTAGTTCTCACAACAACCCGACGAGAGAAGTGCTCTTAGTAACCGAGTAGATGAGAAAGCAGACCCGGAGAGGTTCAGTAACTTGCTCAAGGTCTCACAGCTAGTGAGTGACAGAGGCAAGACTCAGACCCAGACGATCTTGCATCAGAGTCCATGCTCTTAATGACTGCACTTTCTGCCTCTCTGCCGTGGACATGTTGAGTGTGTGATACCAGAGGGAAGTCCCTGTGGCAGCATCCAGCAGGTGGTTGGAACTTGATTTTGTAACCCAGGACATAGGTCAGAGTATAGAATCACCTGGCAGAAATCAGAGTGGATAGGCCAGGGTAATATTGCCCAGGGAGAGTGAGGCATGGATAAAATCTGAATTTAGCAGACAGGAGAAGGAAGAGGAGTCAGCAAAGAAAGTGGGAAAGACTGATTAGAGAAGTGGATGAGAATCAGGATTGGAAGGCATTGTGAAATTTAACAAATGCAATCAGCAGCATCAAATGCTTCAAAAAGAGTAGGATGGGAACTGATAAGAGGCATTGGTGACCTTGAGAAAGCGGGGTCAGTAGAGCAGGATGGGCTGAGGACCTCAACTGTAAGTGGTTGAAAAGAGATGGGTGAAGTGGCTGCAAGGAGTGGGGCAGACAAAAGAGGTGGCTGTGAGAGAGTAGAAAGGACACTGGGTGGGTCAACAGACTTGAATTCCAGTGCTGGCTCTGACCTTTATTAGGTGTGTGACTTTAGGGGAGTCACTTATCCCTTGGGTGCTGTTTCCTTATTGGTGAAATCAGGAACTAAGATCTACTCAAGGCTGTTGTAGGAACTTGATGGCCAGTGAACTTAGAGCACCCAGCAGGCATAAGAGTTAAGTTGACTGAGATCACGTGAGATAACTCACATGGAAAGAGCTTGACATTTGAAGAGCGTTCTTCAGAGAGAAACTCTGGTCCTGGCTACTCCGTCACGGGGGATGGTTCTGACACTTAGAACTGATGAGTCCCCTCAGGCACCCACTGCCCGCCACCTCTCAGGCATCTGAGATCCACCATGTTGCAGGATCCTTGCTGGAGCAGCAGGCTGAGAGAAGACCTCACACATCTATCGATCGTGTGGTCAATTGCAACTCTGGGACTTGACCCCTGGTGCCCTGTGCCACTGCTTGCACCCAATTACGGCCATCATTTGGCTGTGTGGGCCAATGGTTAGGACTCTCCCCTAGGAGAAAGAGCATCCAGGTTGCAGGTGTGGCTTTGCAGCTGACTCAATGAGGATCCTTGGACCGATCCCCTAACCTCTGTTTACAGACCTGGGAAAAGGCTCAGCCTGACTCTTGATGTGAGTAGAAGGAAAATATGTCCAGAACCAAGCTTCAGTTTTGCAAAGATGTCTTGTAGTGTGACAGGGAAGCATGGTGCATATTCCCGTGGGTGGCTCTTAGGTTGTGATATCACAGTGTGCGTCCTGAGAATTATCTCATGTTCTCTCTCCATCTGTTTCCTCCTTTCTTCCCCATCCTTTCTTTCTCAGTGTCTAGCATTGTAAAATCTTAGATTATCTCCTCCTCTTCTGACCACATGACCCATCCATCCACTCATTCATTCAACCAATAGAAAACATTGTACTGGACACTGAGGAAGTGAGAAATGGGGATTCAGACATAAATATGGCTCCGCTCCTGCCCTTAAGGGGTTTGAAATCCAGTGAGAGGAGAAAGACATCTGAACAAACAGAAATGGACACATTTAGAAGGGTCTTACAACAGAGGGACAAACCATGGGTCTCAGGAGCCCTGCGGAGGATTAATTCACCTAAAGGAGCCCAGGCAGGTGTCAGGAGAAGGCATCTGAGGGGCTCCTTGACAGGTGAGTGAGTGTCCAGAGTAGAGGAGCGAAAGGCACCCTCATATAGGGAGGCCCAAGGCCACAGAGCATGCTGGCTGGTCAGGAAAGCCCCTGACACACTCGGAGAAGCGGGCACACCAGTCTCTGGGCCAGCAGAGGTGAAAGGAGGGTGGCCTTGAGAGATGAGACCTGTCTCTGCCTCTCACTGTCTCCTTCTTGTTCTCTCTCTCCTGCTGCCTTTGACTTGAGCTGAGTCTGCTGTCTTCTCTGCCTGCATCATCCTCACAGCGTTCGTCCCTCTGCTTGTCTGCCTTTCTTCCTCCCAACTCTCTTTCTTCATATTTGGGTGGGGGGGAGCCAACAGATTTCACGCCGGGTGGCCATTCCGTGTGCCTGGCCCTCAGCCCTGTGGCAGCTGGACCCAGGATCCCAGCACCCATGCTGCAGCCCAGGGCGGAGATGGAGTCGGTAGTGTCTGCCGTTAGCCTCTGTCCTTCGGTGACAGCCCAGACAATTTACATACCCTGTTGGCTGTGGCCGTATGTTGTCATAACCTGGGTCATTTCCTCATTTAATACCATCCATAAACTGCAATAAAACTGTCCTGGAGCCGAGTGGTACTCCTCAGGGGAGGAGAGGCAGGGGGTTTGGAAGTAGGGGACTGGGGTGGGCAGAAGGTGAGGGGGCAGCGGGTGGAGATTGGAGGTCTGGAGGTCCAGGCAGGCAGCCGGCCCGCACCGCCCTGATGAGTGCCTTGTTTCCTTTCTGGCAGTGTGTCAGATCCTCCCCAAGGGGGTGGTCGCTGTCCTGGGACCGTCCTCCAGCCCGGCCTCCAGCTCCATCATCAGCAACATCTGTGGGGAGAAGGAGGTGAGTGCTGGGCCGGCTTGGGGGACTATGAGCGGCCTGGCAGCCTGTGCTCCGGGCCCAAGGATGCTGTAGATTCTTAAGGGCTGGAAGAGCCCATGGTGACCTAGGTGGTGTCATTGATAACAACAACGTCAATCCAAGTAAAAGGAGTGGTCCTTGGCTGGCCACTTACTTTCGTCCAGGTTGTGTGGATGGAGGGGACTCAGAGGACAGGTTTCACAAGGAGCTTTTCAAGCTGAGCTCCTCCGAGTCTTAGCATCCTGTGGGGGCTCCTTGCTGGTGTGGTAGAGGCAGAGGCAGGGAAGGGTGGTGGTCTGGGAGAGGCCAAGAGTGCAGAAGTCTGCGCTCCCTATGAGCAGCTCTGTGGTTGCCTGTTCAGATATTGGGATCCTGGGGAAGAATAGCCATGGGGCAAGGCATTGCTGCATTTTATTACTAAAATAAAGCTTGAAAAGTCTATTTTCTAAGTTGTCTAAGAAAGAGATTTTATTTTGCTTTCTTCCGCATTCACCAGTTCCAGTATTTGCATCTCCAATCGGTCACTTCCTCAGGTGTCACTCCAGCTGGAGTCTAGTTGCAGAGTGCGGAGGCCATTTCCTCTAGTTCTAGTTTGAGGGGAGGGAAAGATGGTCAGGGGAGTTTCTGAATAATGGCCTCCTCTCTGCTCCCTCAGCTCTCTCCCTCCTTTTCCCCTAGAGGAAACAAACTGGAAACTTCAGAGATTCTGTCTATTGCTGGAATCTTTCCTAGTCCTTCCTGGAATCAGTCAGTCCTTCCCCTTCAGAGATATCCCTGGAGACAGTGGCCGCTCTCTCCTCCCCTGATGCCCCACTTCTCTTATGGTCAGAGGGCTTGGCGAGTCCCTGAGGGTTTGGCAGAGTTTTATCCTCCGTGTTTATGAGCTCACTCTCAGAGTTGGTCCCTGCACACTGGAGTGCCATGCGGTCCTGGCTCTGGTCCTTTGGTTGGTCTTGCTCAATGCCAGGCCACTGCACTGTAGGCTGAGCTCCCTGAGCCTTCTCATCACGGGTTGGGTCTGTGCTGACAATTCTCCATCCCCTACCCCGTAGATGTCCTGAAAGATGACTCTTGTGCCAGCCCAGGCCAAAAAAGGAGCTTGTGTCCCGCTGCAGTCTCTTCCAGCATCTCACAGGCCTCGGTCCCAGGAAGTTAGACGGATGTTTAATTTAAATCTTTCTTGCCGTGCTTCAAGTAATAGCTCAAATCTGGCAGGTTGTTATTTCAGCGATCGCTCTGATCTTCACCAAGTGAGGTTGCCAAGACTTCCACTCCCCGTTTTCTCTTTTCTGCTTTCTCCCTCCTCCCCATCACACTTTCCTCCCCATCACAATGTCCCTTCCAGTCGTTCCAATCCCCGCACCCAAATGGCCTCCTCTTGGGGTTCAGTGGATATTGTATCCCAGCTCACACGTCCCTTAACCCTGTTTGGCATGTCAGGTCCGAGGCAGAGACCCTGATCTGCAACCATCTTCCTGGTCCTGCGCCCCCATCTCCCCTCTGCCCCCATCCCTGTGCCGTTGACCAGCCAGACACGTTGCACTGCCCAGGGAATGGCCAAACGGTTCTCTCTCCTTTGTCTGGTCATGTTCCTTCCAGAGCAACCTTTCCTCTCTGTTCAGATTATGCATTTCTTTTAATATTTTATGAGGCTGAACTGCCTTACACTGATTCCCCTCAGCTTCAGAGAAAAGAAATGGAGTTCTCACCAAGGAGCTCATTCCTCTAAATGCTGCTAACATTTCCGTAGTCCCTGTGGCTGGCCGCTTTCTGCCTCACTGCCCTCCCTTCCATTTTACTCACCTCTCCTCCCCGCAGACACCTCCATGATGACTTCCTGGCATGTGTTTGCAGTTGCAAATCAATTACGGGTTGATCTTTGTCCTAGAGAGAGATTCCGGAGGATTGGCTTGGGCCATCCCTGCCTGGGCCCATCAGAGCCTTCAAGATGGCGGGCTGTGCTGGAGGCTTCCCAGCGACTCCCCTTCCTAGGGAGGCCCCTCAGCCCTCAGCCCCTGCTCAGACAGCCCCAAGAGCTTTTTCTGGAGCTCCTAGATTTGGGGAGAAAAGGGAAAGGGAAGGAGAAAGGCATTGCCTCAACACTTAGCACATGTTAGGTACTGTGTCCTTCACATGCAGGATCTCATTTTGACCCTCCCAGAGCTCTGAGAAGCACCACTGTTACCCCCATTGTAATGAAGCTTAGATAGCTTACACAGTTTGCCCCAAATCACACAGCAGAGCCTGGGTGCAAACCCAAGCCTGTAGACTCTGAAACCATTTGTCCTTCACTTTCCTGAGTCTTCTCCTTGCTGCATCTCTAGGATCCATGGATTCAAGGCTATCTCTTAAGGTCCATTCCACTGTGGGGTGAGTTAGCAGCTAGTGGAACCCGGTGGGCTGGATGGCCACACAGGGGGCCCTTGGTCAGAGATGCTGAACTGTGTAAGCCAGCCAGCCTGCCAGCCTGCCCCTGCCCAGCCTTGGCCTACATCTTTCCCCTTTGTGACCTTTTTTCCTTTCAAGGTGCGTTTGCTATTCATTTTAGACAGATTGTATGGGATGCAAAATTTAAGTGGTAAGAAAGTCCTTCTACGACCCGCCCCAGGTCTCTCTTTAGAGTCTTCTTTTATAGCTCCCCAGGCCCTCCCCATTTCTGCGCTTTTCAGTTTCTGCTGGAAAATATTGGTTACCCTCTCTTTATGGTTAAGGGCTAATCCTAGTTGAATTCAGGAATTTTCTCCCTAGTTTCTGCTAAATCTTTACCCTCCCCTCACCCTAATCCCAGAGGAACTCTGGTCTTCGGCTGACTTCTCACTGAAGCTTAGGAGGATAACGTAGCAGAATCCTGCAGAGACTTGTCAACATCATCCCAGACTCTGGGCCAGCCCAGGCAGAGAAACTTCTGCAATGACTTATGAATAACCTACTCTAGGAGCCAACCAAGGAACCATCACAAAGTTCTTCCTGCTGTCTACCCTCAGTCTAACTTGCTTTAACATCCATCCAAACCCACGCTTCCTGTATTTTGGCCCTCCCACAAGGCACTGGTCCTAAGGGAGGCTGAGGCTTGAGAGGTCAGCTCCATCTCTGATAGAGGCACCAAGCAGCCTCAGCTCTCCTAGCTCTAGGTACCAGAGATGAGGGTGACAGAATAAAATCAAGGTGGATGGCAGCTTATTACCTTTTAACTTCCTATTATCTACCCCATAGCCTAAGCCGCCAATAAAGCAGCCATCACAGCCTGTTAATATCTCTTCCCCGGAGAAGAGAGACAGAAGGCAGGGGCATTGCCTCCCAGAAATGTCAGTAATAGATGCAAAGGGAAGCTGACACTGTGGTAATGAAGCCAAAGCAGGTGCTTATGTACCTGGCTCCATTCAGAGGCTCTCTAGGTCGTTTTTCAGCCCGTGGTGCTTCCTTGTCCATACACTTGTCTACCGAGGAACCTATCCATCCCAGGCTTTCACCCAGGAAGTCTGTTGGGAGCTGGTTTGTACACCTGTTGGCTAGGCTGGACTGACAGGGCTGTTGCCTCAGTCCCCAGGGCACTGTCTTGTCTTTCTCTTTCTGCCATCTCTGCTCTGGTTTATTAATTACAAATAAAATAATTATAAGGATTATGCCTTCAAGAGTCATTTGTCTCTCTGCCCAGCAGTGGGCAGTTGCTCTGAGAATAAAGACCTATTCGTTTGCCTTCTCAGAGCCACAGATTCCAACTCCTAGACCCACAGTACATTACACAGTCCTCCAAACCAAAGGTTTCCCATCCTGTGTCTTCCTATCTTTAGTGTTGTCAAGGTCATCGTCTTATCTTCCTCCTGTGGAGGGCGTGCCCTGAGTCCCGCAAGCTCCCTCTCCCACTGGCGTGTGGCACGGCCTTCCATAAAAGAATCCACCCTCTGCCGCCTTGTCTCACTCGTCCCTCTTTCTTTCTTTCTTTCTCACTCCTTCTGGATCCCCCCTGCTGCCCGATTTTGCTCCTCCGCCCAGGTCCCTCATTTCAAAGTGGCCCCAGAGGAGTTTATCAAGTTTCAGTTCCAGAGATTCACAACCCTCAACCTCCACCCCAGCAACACCGACATCAGCGTGGCTGTAGCTGGGATCCTGAACTTCTTCAACTGCACCACCGCCTGCCTCATCTGTGCCAAAGCAGAATGTAAGTTTCCCCAGCTGGCTCTGCCTCAGATAGTCGGGTCGGTCCTGTTGATTTCAACCTGATTGATTTGCTCCTGGCTGGAGATGCGCCAGGAAGGGGAGGGCTCCTGCAGCTCATGGGGATGATATAACCCCGTGTGAGTATGTGTGTGTGTGCGTGTGTGTGTGTGAGAGAGAGAGAGATAGAGAGAGAGTGACCAAGAGAGCAAGAGTGGTCCAGGAGCATCCTTTGCCAGAACTCCCTGGGCATGGACGGAACAGAGAGGAACTGGGTTATAGGGAGGCTGGCTAACCGCCAAGGCTTTTTGCATCTGCAAACTCAATTCCCACATTTTCAGCCTCATTGTTAAGGAGCTACAAAATGAGAGAGAGAGGGAAAATATAAAATTGGATGCATTTGTACTTGATGGGTTGAAGAGCTTCTTCCCTTAGAGAGCGGATTTTGCTGATGGAACGAGGTCCAAGGTCAATTCCTGATAAAGCATTTTTTTGCAAATGCGGGTTTTGGAAAGGTGTTTTCTCTGACTCTCGGACAATTTGTGACATAAATTTAGTGTTTATGAGATTTAGCTAATTTCAGCCAACACTTTCCAGCAAACCTGTGCATCTGTGTGTTCCCGGTGGCAGCTGCGCACCCACGTGCGGTCAGACAGGTGGTGGCCATTGGCTGCCATGAGGGCCCAGTGCCTGAGCCACAGGCATCTGTGTCCTGCACAGCTTACCTGTGCAGGTCTCACCCTGTGGGTCTGAGGTGGGCCGCCCTGGCAGAAGGATGCTGTCTCCATCAGGGCTCCTTTCCGTGGCTTCCCAGCACTGCTCTGCATGCTTAAGTCCTTCCTCGACCCAGGAATCCCTTCGGCATCGGAAAACAAGAGCCGTCTTCCTGTCAAGGGTCAGAACCCCTTCCTTACCAGGCCTCTGCCCCGGACTGCCTCCACAAGTGCCTTCATTCATTTATTCAACACTGACTGAATGCTTGTTCTGTGCTACGCAAGAAACAAAGTAACTGAGTCCCAACTATGTGTGCTTTTTATATATGTCTTATTTATCACGACCACCCAGGGGGTTTAGAGGTGTTGGAGTTCCCCACTTTAAAGTTAAATAAAATTTAAAATCTAGTCCCTCAGTCTCACTAGGCACACGTAAGTGCTCGATAACCACATGTAGGCAGGGCAGATACGGAGCCTCGCCATCACTGCAGAGTTCTGCTGGACTGTGCTGCTTCAGACGACAAGTGTTTTGTGGCCAAAGGAAAAAAGAGAGCAACGTTTGGATAACACTGCATTCTGTCTCCCCTCGTGCAGATTCACAGCACACCTTTGTGTAGACACTGTAAGTTGTCCTGCAGCCAAAACAACTATTTACCTCATCGTCTTCCAAACAGGTTTGACCCGAGGCCCGAAAAGGATGCTGATCTAAAAACCCACAGGATGCTAGTGTTGGAACGCATTTGGGAAACATTGCATTCCACCAGGTGGCCCTCTTCATGCGGCATCCTTGCACCATTGAACGGTGTAGCAGAATCCAGGATTCTCCCCTGGAAATTTCCTCCACAGGCCCACTCAGGCAGGACTCAACTGGCACACCCCGTGCACACAGCAGGAATGTTGAGAGACAGGACAGGCTGTAAATATCTCCACGCAGAGATTCTCCTGCAGTCCTCCTCAGTGCTTGGTACGATGTCTCACTAATCTGACAGGAAGTTCTCTCTTGGGTCTAGCCACAGTCCCTCTTGCTTTTAAGCGGAGCCCTGTTTCCTCTGCTTCAGCTCCTACTGAACTTTGAGTTGCTCAGATATTTGTTAAGCACCTACTATGCTGCTGAGCACTATGCTAGATCCTGTTGCCTCCTAGCCCAGGGCTCTTTCCATCAGAATTGACGTTCTTTGACATTCAAACAGTTCCTTGCTGGTTGCAAAGCACTTTCACTTCTGTTTTCCCATTTTACCTCCCTCCTCCCCGGTCATTCTAGAGCAGAGAAAACAGTCTTGGAGCTGGGAAGGGACTTGCGTAAGGTCACAAAGCTGGCACATGGCAAAGCCAAGACTCTAACTCAAGTCCTCTGACCCTGAGCTGGGGTTCCTCCTCCACGGCCACTCCTACCCTCCTGTTCTGCACACACAGCCTCAGAGAGCGGTGCTGGGTGGGCTCTGCCTGGCAATTACAATGTCCTTTGAAGGGCAGAGATCTCTCAGGAGCGGTGCGTCCCCTTGCTCCCTTGAGCAGGGTGCGGGATGGCTGAGCACAGACAAGGTCCTGGGGAGGCCAGCCCGCAGCCCAGGCAGGACTCATCAACCAGGCAGTGTCGCCTCTACTTGGAGAACCCATCCACTGAGGCTGCCGGGTGACTCCCGCCCCACCCACCGGGGCCAGGGGAAGCAAGGAGAAGTTCAAGGGCAAAGAGGATTAGACATCTAATCAAAGGATGAAGAAATGAGCGACTGAGGGAAAACGCAGCTCAAAGCTTCGGAGGAGACATTCTTCCATCTTCCTTATTAATGCAGGGCCAAGAGACATTGCAAGTCAAATTAGGAACAGGAATCTAATTCTATTTTCCAGCCATCGAAATTAGGCATAACGGAGACCATTCCCTGGGGAATCATGCCTCTTACTCTCCTTCTTCCCAAAAGTAGAGGTCTAATAAGCAGCTTCTGGACCAAGTAGACTTGTGTTGTAGATTACATTATTTTTCTTCAATGGGAAAAAAAAAAAAATCGGAACATCTGCAAGTGCCTAGTTCTAATGAGGCTGGGGGAGAAGATATTGTGAGGGGCCCAGGCATGGCTGTCCTGTTGGCCCCTCCAAGCCTGGGGCAGTTTGCTGTTAGGGGGCTTCCAAGGGGAGTTGGGGCTCTGCTATGGCCCCGCCAGCCCTTTCACAGAGCTGCCTTTTGAGACCCTCAAGGCGGACCCTGAGCCTTCCAGTCCTGTGGTCCCAGGTGTGATATGCTGTGTATTTTCCTGGTATTTTTTTATGTAGCTCAAATCATCTTTTTTTAATGCTTGCTTTGGTGTTTCTTTCTAAGTATTTTAACATCCTTTTTCTGACTTCCCGTCCTGTGCTCCTACGTCTTCTGCCACTTACTTACTACCTGTGTGATCTTGGGAGAGTGACTTAGGCACTCACTAGCCTCTGTGGTCGCGTCTATAAAATGGGGACGATGGCACCTCCCTCCCAGGATGCTTGAGTGGATTAATCAGGTGCCATACACAAAGGGCATACCACTGCATCCACACCTGGGGAACACTCGGCATGCATGAGTTTTCCTTTCTTTCCCCCCTTGGATCCTACTGAATAAGGCCAGGTCAGGACTAGAGCAGAATGACTGGAGTTTGGCTCTGTCCTGTACCATCCCTGTGCTGGCTGAACTCGGTCCACGTTGCTGGAGAGGAGCAGATTCTGGTCTCCTGGGGAGGAAGAGCAGCTGAAGAGAAATGCAGGATGGTGCAGTCAAATGAGAACCATCTTCGGAGTGAGACCAAGCTGCTCCACCTCTCATGAGCTGTGTGATGTTGAACAGATCATTCTACCCCTCTGAGCCATAGTTTCCTCCTGTGTAAAGTGGGAATAATAGTGTCTCTCAGGGTAATTGAGTGGAAGGTGTCTGGGCCCAGAACATAATACACATTTAATTATTGTTACTTCATCCTGCAACCCTCCCTGTGGCTGTAGGGACTGGAGGATGGAGGGGTAGGGAATTATACCAGGGCCTCCCATGAGAGCAGGGGAAGTAGTGGGCCTTCCTGAGGCGCCCCCAGCCTTTTGCTCCCAGCGATGCAAAATTAACCATTTATTGAGGACTTCTTATGTGCCCAACACTCTACTACAGCTTTTAAATGATCTCATTTAAACCTCATGCTAACCATTTAACCTGTAAACACTCTCATTATATGCACGAAGAAAAGAGATTAAGTCCATTTTGAAGGTCATATGGTTCTTACATCCTCTCCCTGCTTCTCCAAATGCCGTAGAAGAGACAGAAGTGAGGGACGGACCATCTTTCCTATTTTGTGGGAGGACTGAGGCTTTCTGATGCCAACTCGAGTGGTCAGTCAGAGGCCAGTCCTCAGATCTCAGCCTGCCAGGAGTTCTCCAGCTCTGTGATCTCGTCACTGCATCTCTCCCACCTCAGTGATTCCATCTCTACCCAGGAGTCATAATAATACCGCCTCCCAGGGCACTTGTGAGGGTTAAATCAACCCATGATGGAGTTGAGGGTGTTTCTCAGGGCAGGGACGGCTGCTGGGTCCTATAGCGGAGGCGCAAGCTGGAAACATAATCCTGAAGTTAGGAGGCGATGGGAGCGCAGAGGCCAGGTTGTCCCACTTCCGTCCTTGCTCTCCGAGAAGGGGACAGCCTGATGGCCGAGCCCGGAGCAGACAGTCCTCCTGTAAGCGAGAAGCCCTCTCTGCTCTCTGTCTCCTCTTGGAGCCCCCGAGGGTCTGGCCCTCCCTGGCTGTTCTTGGGGCCAAGCCCAGGCATGGGATGGGACAAAACGGAGAAGTGGGTGAAATATGTCATTCGAGCACTTGAACTTGTTCTGTGCCCATTGCACCCGGTGACACCTTGGACTCTCATCCTCTTTCTCTGTCAGAATCTGCTCGGTGGAAAAGGTCTGAAAGCCACACACCTGCGGCGTGTGCGCCTGGCCGGGGAATGAAGACTTTCCCGGTTCAGGCCATGTGCGCAGTGTGGATTCACACGGTCTCAGTATGTCCTCCTCACGACCCTCTGAGATCAGCGCTGTGCCTCCTGGAATGTTAGGGGGTCTCAGAACCGGGGCCTGCAGCCCAGGGAAGCAGCCAGAGGAGAGGCACGGATGCCAGTTGAAATGGGGGGTTTTTAATTTTTATTTCTTAATGCAAGGATCCTCTCTGTCCCCTGCGGACCCATCTCTTAGGTATTTGTGTCCTTGTCCTCTGGCCCTGTCCAACCCCGGCTGTGCCTTTTGTGGCCTCTCCATCTTCCTCCCACCCCAGCTGGCCCCTGCCTTCCAGGAGCCAGCCTCCCTCCTTCCTCCCAGGGCAGCCGGCCTGCTGGGTCTGTCATCTATCCAGCCCATTGCATCCTGAGCGAGACTAATAGGTTCCCCAGGTCCCTCTCAGCCTTGAACTTGGCAGGCAGACCTGCTGCTGGGCCAAGGGTCTCGCAGGAGAGGGGGGTTGGGGTGGGGGTGGAGGGGAAGCTGGGGAAGAGAGCAGCTTTTAACCTCTCCGGTGGCAGCTGCCTTGGTAAATCCCTTAGTTCCATTAAACAGATAGCAGTGGGAAGAACCGCAATTGGAAACTGCCAAACTGCACTGAAGAGCTCCTAATATTCTTAATGCAACTAAACCCACTTTCTCTTCTGCAAATTCCTTCCACTGCCTAGAATAAAGAAAGTATCCTCTTCTGATTCATAAAAATTAGAGAATCTGTGGGCTGGAAAGACATCAATGTTCTTCTAGCTCTACTTTCCATCCACTGGTTTAATTCTCTCTACAACAATCCTAACAGGGGCTTCAGTCTTTCCTTGACTACTTCCAGCAATGGGGAACTCACTACCTCATGATACAGCCCAGTGCCTCTTCAGGCAGCTCGAACAGAGGTGCTTCCTTAGGTTGAGATAAGTCTGTCTCCCTGTGACTTTCATCCACTCGTCCCTGGGGGTAGTTCTTGAGGCTAGCAAGAGCAATTCTGCCTCATGACACCGCTTTCCATTCTTCCTCAGGCAGGCACCCCTTTCTTTCAGCTGCTCCTCAGGTGACGGTGTCTGTTCCCCACCTGGCGCTGCTGCTCGCCTGGTCCGTTAGGATGCAGAGTCTCTCTCTTCCCCCCATGGTTTCTAGTTTGGTCCCCCAGCAAGCACCATGCACCCTGCCTCACACGGGCAATGTGCAGAGAAGTTTGAAATGGGATGGCTACCTAACTCTGTGAAAGAATTAGGATGTATGTTACCTAATTGCAGTATATATAGATATATGCATATGTGCAAGCTATCATATCAAATGTTTTGCGTGGTTTATAACCAAGGGCCATATTTGGATAGGAGTTGGGAGAAGTTCAGAAGTGGGGAGAAGCTGGAGAATGGAGAGGAAAAAAGGTTTCAGGGAGAAGTTGGGGTGAAGGACGGTTAGGATGTGAATGGGTGGGGGAGGGGTGAATGGAAACCAGATTTGTTAAGCACCTTCCAGGTGACAGACACTTTGCTGCGTACGTGACATCCTGTTACTAACCCTGTGAGGTGGGCATCATCCTTATTTTACAGGTAAGGACACAGATAAGAGGTGCAGCAGGGAGGAGGGAATTGCCTGCACTGACTAACTACCTGGTGATTCGGGTCCAGACCCTGTGCTCTTTTTGCTGGTCCAGGTGTAGTCCAGGCTGGGAAACGGAGTGATGGATAGGAGATCCTGGGTGGGGCTGCAGACCTCCTGAGGACTCACTGCCTTTCTGCTCTCCACTCTCCCTGCCCTGCCTCTCACACACAGAGTGTGTGTTGGATGAGCTAGGGGGTGCTGCTTGCTTGTTTAAAGGGCAGCAGAGCACCCCAAGGGTCAGTGGGATGGGGCATACTGGGCATTGATTGGAGCAGGATCCCCAGTTCATCTGACATCTGGGGGAATATTTTCCCTGGGAGCTTAGTGCGCCTGCCAGTTTTAAAGGGGTGAAGGGTCCCCAGGTTGCCTTGGCCAGGCATCTGCATGCTGTGCATAACCCTGCTGTCATCCCGCAGGCCTTTCGGTCTCGTCCCACTGAATTTCATTGCCTGTCTGAAGGATCCTAGGGGATTTGGGCTGTTTCCCAGTCAAGCTCCAGAGATGCTCCCTGCTACATTCTAGGAACTGTGGGGTTCCCTCTGCCACCCCTCCCTTACTCACCCCTCCGGCTGCAATGCTCCCTTCCCCATAGCATGCCAGGAACATCTTCTCTTGAGCCAGGGAGGTGGCTGAGTCTCCAGGAGCACCAGCTCCATGGTGTCCCCAGACCTCCTTGCTACAGTGTCTTTTGGGTCAGGTGCTCAGACCTTTGTGCATGTGGGATTTTGCTTTTCACATCATCTGTGAGGAAGGTGTGACTATTCTCTCCATTTTTACATATAGGACAAAATGGGGCTGCCCCATAGAAAACCAGATTATGTAAGCCGTCAAACAAAATAGGTATTCGATTTGAGCTTTGTTATAGCCTTTGCTGCAAGTCCTTGGACTCTGAGCTCCTGGAGGGCAGGGTCTGTGTCTGATCCATCTTCTCTGCACGTGTCTTGGCCCACTGCCTGCTCTTAGGACCGGGAGTGTTGGTTGAGCAGATTTGTACTCTCCTCCTCCTTCATTCCACCTCACCGAGCCACGCCTGCCCTTTGAGCTCTTGGGATGAGTAAATACAAGAGAAGTACACTGATACCATACATTCCGGTTCACATGGTCCTTCCACATAGGATCTCAGTCTTTCATTTTACAGATGAAAAATGGAGCCCGAAGAGGTTAGATGACTTCTCCAGGTCGCACAGTCAGTGAGGACTGACCTTGAGCCTGAATCCGGATCTTCCAGGTCTTCCATATCTTCCAGATCAGGGTCGGCAGGAAGTGCCCCAGCAGCATCAGTGAAGCTACCTCAAATCCGAAGGGGTGATTAGATATAAAGTGAAATTTTAGTTGATGAAGGAACCAGATGTGCCATTCTTTTTTATTTTTCTCCCCAAAGACCCCCAGTACATAGCTGTATATCCTAGTTGTAGGTCCTTCTAGTTCTTCTATGTGGGATGCCACCACAGCATGGCTTGATGAGCAGTTCTAGGTCTGTGCCCAGGATCCGAACCAGTGAACCCCGGGCTCCGAAGTGGAATACGCAAACTTAACGACTCAGCCATGGGGCCAGCCCCTGATGTGCCACTCTTGATGGAGGCCAGTGGTGAGGGGCTGCGAGGGGCACAGACGGCGGTGGATCTGGCAGTGGATCTTTACAAGTCTCTATCGAGGCCCTGTTGGGGGAGGGAGAAAGGGCCAATCTGATGCTGTGGCTTGCACAGCCGGGCCATTTTTGAAGCTTCTTTGTGAATAACAGGCCCTCCTAGGACTTCCCCATTGCTGCCGTAGCCTCCAGCTCTCTGGACGGCCTTCTCAGGACCTGTGATGGGAGGACAGGGGTTTGCACCATCTTCCCAGAGCTCCTGTCTCCATCGTGCCAGACCCTTGGGCTCCATCCTGCTACTTTTTGCTTGTTAAAAAAACACATCAAGTGTGCGCTTTCCTCCCCCAGTCCAGAGTTGCACGTCCCTGGGCCTCCCCTGGGTTCTGTGCCTGCTGCCCCCTGCTGTGTTTTTTCCTAAGTGGCAGCCTGGTCTCATGGGAAGAGCATTGCCTGGAGAGGAGAAAATGGGAATTCTGGTCCCAGCTGTGTCCCTTGTGACCGGGCAAGTCCTGTCACCTCCCTACAAAATGAGGGAGGTGGATGTGATGCTCTTCAGAGCCCCCTCTCTCTTACCTTTTGATCCTCAAGGGGCAGGGGGATAAGTAGCTTGCTCAGGGGGGAGTCTTAGGGTCATATTCAAGACATCCCTGCATTTACTATCCATTTAGCCAGTACAGAAACTGGAGCCCGGGGACCTTCACTGGTTAGAGAGCCAGCCCTTTGCTCGCCGTCCACAGTAGGTGGAGACTGCATTCCAGAGTCACTCCCCTCCTCACCTCATGTCCTCCTCTGGGTTGTGGGATTATGAGACATTATAGGATTGTTGTGAGGATTGTCTGTGAGATGAGCCCTGTGAAATGTTTAGCCCATTCCTGGAACACAGTAAGGACTCAATACATGTTATTCTTATCGTTGCTTTCGGGAGCAAATATCTGTGGGTCCCTTTCCGTTGGAAGTGAGACCACTATCTTCCAGGAGACCCCCCACCCACCACTGTCCCTGTGGCCTGCCTTTCAGAAACAAAGCAGAATAAAGCCCCTGGGTCTCAGCGACAGGTTCGGAACCCCTCCTCCCTCCATCGACCCTAGGCAGGGGCGAGGGGAAGAGTCTTTGCTCACAGTCCCATTTGCCATTGTTCTGGGCCCACATTATTGCCTGCTGGAGTGCAGTTCAAAGCCTGTTCTTTTATGATCATAATAATACCTTGTCTTAATGCAGCCTGTGCTCTGAGGAGTTCAAAGAGTTTTGCTAGACCTGTTTTCTGAGCCTTGCGACCTTGAGGGACCTGCCCCCCACCTCCACAGTGGGATGGAAGGCTTCTGTGGAGCCAGCTGTAACATGTCTGGGGTACCATGTGCGAGGCTCAGGCCCAAGCACTTCACCTCGTTTAATCCTTGCCACAGCCCTGCTGCTGGCCGCTGGTAGTATTCTCATTTCTCAGATGAGGAAACGGAGACCAAGAGACCTGGCCACATGGAAAGGTCACACAGTGAGTAAGTGGCCATGTTAGGGAAAGAAACCCAGGCCCTGTGGTCTCTGAACCTGGGTCTTGGCCACTGGGCAGCTCCCAAGGGCTGTGAGGCAGGGGATTCTCCCGTCCCGCTTGTGGGAGCCTCCTTATACACCTTAAAAGAGCATCCCGAGGGTGTTGGGGGAGCAATGGGAGCTCAAGAGCATTCTTTTTATTTTGCATGGGACCGTTGAAGCCCACAGCAGTTAAGAAACTTGCTCAGGCTCAGATGCAGCTGCTTAGCCCCAGCGGTGGGGCCGGGCCCACCACCTGCCTCAGGCCCAGATATTTGCTTGTCCTGCTCTGCCCCGGGGTCTCCTGAGGCAGCGATGTGGACCCTCAGGGGCTTCATCCTCTCTTCCCCTCCAGGCCTTTTAAACCTAGAGAAGCTGCTCCGGCAATTTCTTATCTCCAAGGACACACTCTCCGTCCGGATGCTGGACGACACCCGGGACCCCACCCCACTCCTCAAGGAGATCCGGGACGACAAGACAGCCACCATCATCATCCATGCCAACGCCTCCATGTCCCACACCATCCTCCTGAAGGTGGGAGCCGGGCCGGGGCGGGTGCTGGGGGGTGCACAGCATCCTTCTCCCTCCTCCCTCCTTGCCTCGGGTGTCCTCCTGGGAGGACCTCTGACCCTGACAAACCTCTCAGTCCTTCAGTTTCAGGGGAGGGCTCCTGAGTGCTGAAAGGAGAAATCAGGATGATGGTGACGTCATAAAAATATTTAACTCCTGGTGCAGCAGGGCAGCCATCAACTGAGGCACTAGCCTAACCTAGGCCCTACCAGGGGTCTGTGGCGAGGTCCGCAGGTTCCTAGGAGGGGGCCTGGGTGGTGGGGGTGGGGGGCTTGGGGCAGAGGCTGTTTGCCAAGCAGTATAGAAGTGTTTCCATAATTTGACAACCAGGGCAGTCCCAACAGTGTGTGTTGCTGAATGTCGGCCCTGTCTGTAATCCTTACATGGGGTACTACAGTTTACAAAGTACTGCTGTGTATTTCCTAACGTAATCCTCTCAAGGACCGTGTGAGGCAGCTATAATATCTTCACTCAGCAGAGGAAGAAACTGAGACTCTGGGAGATTAACTGCTTTGTCCAAGGCCCAGCCCTATGAAGGGCAGAGCTGAGCCTGCACCAGTTGTCTCTGATGGCACATCAGGCAGTTTCTCCTATCTCCACCATACTGAGGGGTAGGGTGCCAGGCCCTGAATCAGAACATGCCCACATGCAAACTGGAACTCTGTGAGTGAGGCCAGTCTGAGCGAGAGACAGAGACGGAAGTCAGGTGCCTGGGGGTCCATGCTGGACAAACAGCTGGAAGCAGCGGGCAGCGTTGGAGTCACCTGGCACCAGTTCCTGGGCTGGTGGCTGGGCTAGCCATGCAACCCCAGAGAGAAGGGACCCTGCTCCCAGGCTCCCCGGGGGCTCCCAGCAGCTCCCCAGCCTCTGCAGGTGCACTGGCCTCTTCTAATGCCATTTTAATTGCACATTTAAATGCAACCTGCCATCTTCCACTGGGGGAGTGAGGCTCCTCGTTAACCTCTGCCAAGCAGTGAAGAGCCCGGCAGAGACTTGGATGATTGTCTCTTCCCCTCCCTCCCTCCGTCTCTCCTAATCTCCCCTCCCCAGCTCGTTTTCATCCTGGAGTTAATAAGAGATTTGAATGAGTTCTCTGAGTTCGGAGGGCTGTCCTTTCAGCCTGTTGCTATAGTAATTTTCCACAGCTCCAAACCCATGTATGTCTGTGTGCATATCCCCAACTCACACACACACACTCGAACACAGAATTGTTCTCTTTTCTTCCTTTTCTTTTTTCTTCTCTATGGGGCTATGATCAATGAAGTCATCAAGGATGGAAAAGCCCCTCCAAGTTTCAGGGCACAAGAGATACAGGCTGAGTCATCTCAGGGAAGGTGGGAGTAAGAGAGGGAGTTAGCCCTCCCCACCCCCCATTCCCCCAACCCCAGCCTCCTTGCAGAGGACAGGTCAGACTGCACACTTCCGACGTTTCTGCCTGCGGTAGCTGGAGTACCTGCTCAGCCCCAAGGTAGAAGCCTTTTAGGGTCATCCCTTGCCTGGGAATATTTTATGGCTCCCAGCATCCGTGGTTGAGCTCTTTTCTTTTTTTGTTAATAATACATCCAGATCATTGTTGAACTTTTGGAAAGTACAGCAAAACACATGGAAGAAAATAAAAACCATTCACATTTCCATCACCCAGAGATAACCACTGTTGAATTTTGATGTCTATCCTTTTTGCCTTTATAGACACATTTTTTTTCTTTTCCAAAATTATTGTCACACTACACATACTCTTCTGCAGCCTGCTTTTTTTCTCTTAATTATACACCATGCATTTTTCGCATGTCGTTATGTATTTTTCTACAAGTATTTTAATGGCAGCATCATTTCCTATCATATGGATGTACCATAATTTATTTAACCATCCCTTCATTGTCAGAGATACTGGTTGTTTTCAATCTTTGCTATAATAAATAATGCTGGGATGCACATCTTTGTACATAAATCTTTAGGCACATTCATGCATATTTCTTAGCATAAATTTCCAGAAGTGGGATTACTGAGTTAAAGGTATGCATGCTTTTAAGGATTTTGATATGATTTGCCAGATTGCCTTTTAGAAAGGCCGTAACGATTTACACTACCACCAGCAGAGTATAGGTGTCTTACAGCACCCTTGCCAGTACTGGGTCTTTTCATTAAAAACTATTTTAATTTTTTTTTATGACTGTGCTTTTGAAGGAGACTCTGCTTGTAATGATCATTATGAGCAAACAGTTCTGCTGGGTGGCCAGTGGCAGGCTTCCCTGAGGCCATCTATTGGCCTCAGCTCTAGTGACCTTGGCACCAAATCCATCAGTGACCAGTGAGGCCTCAGGAAACCCTGATGCTTTCATCTCCATTTGATTCCTAGTGGCCCCAGGGGGCCAGGCCAGGCAGGCTGTGCATCAGGACTGGACTCAGTCCACACACTTCCCTGGGGCTCCACGTTCCTCCTTTGCAGGGGTTACAACACCGCCTTGAGCGACCTCAGGGAGGATGCACTCCATGTGGGAAGCAGTGTGAGCAGAGAGCACAGGGAGCTCCTGGGAGGCTTGCCATGCACGTGGGAGCCTGGCCCCCGAGTGTGGCAGAGCTCTGCTGTCTCTTGATTTCAGGAGGATTTGCAGAGTAATCCCCTACTTTATTGAGTGGCTGCTCCAGCAACGAACTCCATGTTTACTGAGAATTCAGGTCTTAAAAACCAAGGATCTCTTGTCTTTAATCTTTAGGACAGCAGATTTCACAAAATGGGTTTTAACCACTGGCAGTGCCCTCTCCCAGCCCCTAGCCCCCAGCCCATCCCTGTAACCAGGGGGCTCCCATTGGCCCAGGCGGTGGTGAGAGGCAAAAGCACTATTATATGGACAGTGTGGGAGGGGATGGACATCATGCCATCCCATCCTCTTGAAAGTGGAGGAGGAAAGGTAGCTTTGCTGAGGCTTTGTGGAGCCTCACACAGAAGGCCTTGAGCTCCGTTGTGACCTCATGCGCTCTTGCCCCTGTCACCAAGCTCTTCTGCACATCAGTTTCCCATTGGAATGCTGGTGATATAATTACCCCAGCCTGTTCTCCAAGGAGCCTGTGAGCCTTCCTGTAAGAATGTTTACAAAGTTATTGGAGTTCCTTGGGAGACAGACACTCTGTAAGAGGAAAATGTCATCATCCCTGGTCTTGTTTCTCCCCCACGCACCTCAATAGTCATGACATAAATGGTTTCCCAGTGGCTGCAGGATAGATTATGAAAATCTAGCTGACTGTCAGGAGGGAAGAGGGCCCTGGGGAGAGCTGGGCTCATTATTTATCTGATCTACTTGTCGGTTTCTATAGCACCTGTCACACTCAAAGCCAGGCACACTGACAGGGAAGGTTGGTGAGGGGTATTTATGATGGCTACAAAGATCTGACAAAAAGGAGGCTGGTCTGAAGTGGCAGTTCTCAATGGTGGGATGATGACACACTGGTGTGCTGTTACCAAGGGTGAGGCATGTCACAAGTGACTCGTTCCTTACTACTAATAAAGGACCAAAGTTTGCAAATGATTCACTTGTTCCCTATGTTACCTCAGAATCAAGAATACTCTTAGGATTCTCCCTCCCTCACGTTCTGTCAGACGTGGAGTCAATTTGGGAATTGCCTTCAACCCACAGACTCTCCTGTCTGTGCCTCTGCCCCTAAGAGAGTTGTCACTAGTTCCATCTGTGTCACAGTCTCCCAGGGGGAGTAGAATTTGGTCAAAAGCACTGAAATTAGGCAGCCTGGCTTTAATTTCATCTTTTCCAGCTATGAGGTGTGTGATCTTGTACTGGTTCCATAGCCTTTTAGTGTTTGAATTTCCCCAGCTGTCAAATGGGAGGAGGAGGAGGAATGACAGTCCCTACCTCATCGAGTTAGCCCAAGTAAAATGCTTTCTAGTGCTTGGCACATACGAACAGTGGGCACGTGTTTGCCATTGTTATTGTTAATGGTTTTGGAGATAATGACTATAGTCTGTTTTATTATTTGCTTCATTTCCTTTAAAGTCAATTTGTTTTCCATGATATCGGTTGTATCCGTGGGAATGTGTTGTGCATGAGAACGTCAGCTACTATGAGTGTTACTGCATGAGGGGAGCGGGGTGGAGGTGGAGAGACCCTACTCTAGAGGCCAGTGTTTCTGTGCTCCATCCTCCAAGGTCAAGGGCAACATAAGAACCAATGAAGATGTTCTACTCTTCCTGGCGCCGAAGAGTGGTGCGCTAGACAAATGGCAGACACGTGGAGCTCTCGCTACTCATTTACTTCCAGTGGGTTCTTGTTTTCCTCTCTAATCTCCTTCTCTTCCCTTTGCAGGCAGCAGAACTAGGGATGGTGTCAGCCTATTACACATACATCTTCACTAATCTGGTAAGACATTTTCACAGCTCACCTCCCTGGCACAGAGAGTGTCATTAATTAGGGTCAGTGGGGTGTGACAGAATGAAGCCCAGGAGATGGGGAGTAGGGAAAATAGAAGCGGAGGAGCAGAAGCCAGCCAGCAAGGCAGGGCGTCCTAGAAATATGGAAGTCCAAGAGCCACTGGGATTCCCATGCCAATAATTCTTTGCGTTGGGAGAATGTGAATTTGGAGAGTCTAATGCCCCCATTCAAAAGGCACCAGCTACATAGCACTGATTCCTCTGATGGTTGAGTCTCCTTGCTAGGTCCAGTTATTGGCCTGCAGGCCTGTCTCTGCATTGCCAGACCCCTGTGCTGACTCAGAAGTAGGACAGCTAGAGCACAAGTGCTCGTGTCCCACCGCGTTATAACTTGATGCACCTTCAGAGGCCATCTTTGCCAAATCCCCTTATTTTGCAGATGATAAAACAGGTCTGTAGAAATTTTATTAAGTCAGGTTGGAGCAGTGGCTTTGCCACACACCAGCTGGGTGCCCTTCAACAAGCACCAGGCCTTGATTTCTGTATCTGTGAAACGGGGGTAAGGACAGCTATGTCATAGAGTTGCGGTAATTTTGAAATGATGTGATTTAATCTGTGTGGAAGTGTTTTGAAACCGTAAAGCTTTAAGGAACATGAGAGGTCGCCATGAAGTATAGACACACTCAATTAGAGAGCAGAAAGAACCTCAGAGAACAGGTTTAAAAAAATTTTGTTACTTTTTATTTTGAAATAATTATAGTCATAGGAAGATATTATGGAAGGGTACCATGTACCTTTAACCCAATTTTCTCCAATGGTTACATCTTACGTAATTACAACATACTGTTAAAACTATTTCATCACCACAAAGATGTCCCTCATGCTGCCATTTTACAGTCACACCCACCACCCTTCTCCCCACCATCCCTAACCTCTAGCAATCACTAGTCTGTTCTCTATTTCTATGATTTTACAATTTCCAGAATATTCTGTAAATGGAATCATACAGTCCATGACCTTTCGAGGTGAAATTCTTCACTCAGCATAATGCCCCTGAGATCCAGCCAAGCTGTTGCATGAATCAATAGTTTGTTCCTTGTTATTGCTGAGTCATATTTCTTGGTGTCAACGCACCACAGTTTGCTTAACCGCTACCTCTTGAGAGAGATCTTGGTTGTTTCCAGTTTTTGCCTATTACAAATAGAGCTGTTATAAACAATCATTCAGAGAAGAAGTTTATTTTATTTTATAAATGTATGAGATGTCCAGTTCACTTAACTAGGTGGCCCCTTCGTCCAGACGTGCTTCTGATATAACAGGGCCGGGGGTTAGAGATTGAAATGGGAATAAGAAACTAAGTCCGCCTTGAAAATTTCAACTCAAAGTACCTATTGCAGTGCAAAGCGGTAAATTCTGGTAGACATGTACACACAGTGGTCTGGACCCTAGAGCGGGGGCCGCATTCTCAGCCTGGGGCAGGCAGGAAATGCTTCCCTCAAGAAGGGGCCATGAAGCTACACCCTGAGAGATGGGTAGGGTTTTTGTAGAGAAACAAAGAAAGGAAGAGCATTCCAGAATAGGGAACAGCATATCCACATTCTTGGAGATTTGAAGTACCTGGCATGTCCAGAAACAATGAGTCACTTTAGACTTATGGGCTGCTCCAGGATGGGCATGTCAGTTAATTATTATTCATTTATCTATTTACATCCATCCTGGGAAGTAACCTAGTTAGAGGATTTAAGGCAGATGTTAATTAATTTTAAGATCTTTGATAAGTTAGGGAGCAGCATTCGACCTCACAGATTTGACTCTTAAATCTTAAAATGAAAAAGGTTGGGCCAGCCCTGTGGCATAGTGGTTAAATTTGTGCACTCAGCCTTGGCAGACTGGGGCTTGTGGGTTTGGATCCTGGGCACGGACCTACATACTGCTCATCAAGCCACTCTGTGGCGGCATCCCACATAAAAAATAGAGGGAGACTGACAACAGTTGTTAGCTCAGGGCCAATCATCCTCACCAAAAAAGAAAAAGAAGAAGAAGAAAGAAAGAAAGAAAGGAAAAAGATTACCTAGAAGTTAAGACTCTCTTGGTCAACATATGTGATAGGGTAACCTAGGAGATGGTGCAGTGTCCCTCCCTGGATTTAGGGACCAGGTCTGCTGAAATGTCCTGTGTGGTTGAGGAGATGCCTGCCCAAAGAGACAGGCTGGGACTCTGTGATCCTTGTTCCTCTCCAGCTCTAGGTTTCTATGACGAGCCCTTTCTTGGGGCTACTGTGGAGTTGTGAACCCTGAAGCGTCCTCCAGGCCTTTGCTCTCAGAGCTGAGCTCCTTAGAGGAATCCAGTGTAGCCTCCTTTCTGGTACAGAAAGGCTCCACAGCAGGCTCACCAGAGAGCCGTTCAGCCGTCGCCTAGCTAGCCACCACCACAAAACTGCCTGCTCATTGTTGGAATTTTTAAACTGAAGTCTAGCACGCATATAGAAGACCCCACAAAGCGTATGTGCTCAGCTTAATGAACGTTGTCCAAGTGAGCACACCTGTGTAAGCAGCACCCGGATCCAGAAACAGAACATTACTAGCACCCCAGAAATTGCCTTCGTGCCCCATCCTAGTCACTGCCCCTCAAAATGTAAAACAGAAGGAACTACTTTGTTTGCTTATTTATTTATTTTTTCCTCTCTACCACTGCTGCTGTAAATCAGAGCATTAACACGTGAAAGGGGAAAAAAGGCTTCGACTATTCCCCGAGCAGTGCAAAAGCATTTGCTTAAAGCGAGGAGGCATCTGGGGAAGCCCTGGCAGGCTGGCAGAAGAGTAAAGAGAGATTAAAGTGCAGTGTGTTCCATGTGGGGAGCCTCGGAGGTGGAGGGGAGGAGTGGGAGAGGCAGGCCAGGGGCCGTCTGCCTCATGCCAGCCTGCCAGGGACGCGCCCCGCATATGGCAGCCATGGCAGCTGAGGAGGGAGAGGCTGGGCAGCAAGGAGACATGGGGTCACTTACCAGATGGAAGGAGGTCACTGATTTGGAATGTGTGTTCTCTGGATGGTGACCAGACTGAGGTGGAATTGCTTGGCTCGGAGATTTTTAGGAAAGCAGCACTCACACTGTATACCACCACTGCCTCTTCTCAGAAATGATAGTATTGACAGCGATGGTTAATCTGGTGGGAAAAGCACTGGTCTGGGAAGTCAGGAGATCAAGTCCCCACACTACTTTACACTCACTGTGTGACTTTGGAGCAATCACACTGACTCTCTGAGCCCCAGTTTTCTCATTTGTAAAATGGGGATAATGAAATCGTACAAGGTGGTTGTGAGGATAAGTAACAATGCGTTATAAATTGCAAAGTACTGTATGTTTCTAAGGCATTGTAATTTTTTTTTTTTAACAACACTATGACACTTCCAGTTTTCAAAGAGCTTTTCTCCTTTTCGGATGGGCACGAAATGAGATGCGCTCTCGGAGCAGGCCTCAGTCAGAGAGTTCTTTGAACCTGGAATTAACAAGATTCACACAGTTAGTAATTTTGCAAGGGGAAATCAGAGAAGTAACTGCGTGAATGCTGATGGCTGAATAAAGAAAAATTAGAGAAATTAGAAGCAGAGCCATTGCAAAAATCATGCCATGAGAGAATATTCTGGAAGCCTCTCATTAGTGCTTTGTCTTTCTGGAAGGGACAGGCGTCTATTAGGCATAAAGAAACTGCTTTGAAGCCCACTCTCCCTGCCCACTTGGAGTTGGAATCTTGGGCCGTGAGGGGGGGCTTCATACAGAGGGTAGTCAGTTACCCTCTGTGCTTCTCCAGTCCCATCCCCCCAGTTACAGATGCAGCCCAGGCTTGAACTCTTATTTATTCCTTCTGTGAATTCCTCAGGGACCCCCATCATGTCCCATCTCTCTGAATTCTGCCACATTGATGCAGCAAGTGCTCAGATTAGCTTTTTGAGAGCCAGCACAGTGAGCCAGAAAGGCACAGGCCGTGGCATTAGGTGGACATGACTTGGAATTCTAGTTGGGCTAGCTACCAGCTATGTGATCTTGTGCAAGTTTCTTAACCTCTCTGAGCCTCAACAACCTCATCTGTAAGTGGACACTAATAATACCTGCCTCAGGAGATAATATCCACACAGCAAACTGGCTCACAATACGAGTTTGGTAAAGGGAGGGTAAAAGTCCTATTTCTGCTTCCCATGTGTTCAAAGGAACGGGGGATACTTATTATGCTGCCCAGCCTCTCATGGCCTGTAAAAGTGACTCCTAAAATGCCATTTTATTTACTTCCGGAGAATGAATAGAGCTAGGTAGTTCAGTTATTGTGCACGACTGAACTGACCATCGTGGGGTTTGTTTGTGTCGGTTATTACTGACTAATTGATTGAGTCCCCACCTCAGTTGCATCCAGCCATTAAGAAGGCTGATTGATTTGGGGCATCTGTAATAAATGAATTAGATTGATTCCAGAGTCAATCACTTGATCACTCATTACCAGAGTTGGGACCAAATATCCATCACGAGTCGAACTTCTAAACCATCAATTCCTTTGACTCTATAGAAACACAGTTTCTTTCCCCATCAGGGTCTGGCCAGCAGGGAGAGTAAGTGTGCTGGCCCTGAGCTTTGGCTGGTGGGGATGACTCATGCAAGGAGAGGAAGTGAGCCAGAGAGAGCTGAGGCTGGCCAGGAGGATCATGCCGCTACCACAGGCAGAGCCAGGGGAGAAGCTGGACAGGTCCAGGGAAGAGCCAGTTCTGGGGGTCCAGTGGAAGCTGGGGCTCAGGGAGATGCCAGGCAATGAGAGAGACACTTCAGCAAGAGGAGGGAGAACCCATGTACAGGGACAGCCCTTCTCCAGAAGAGAGGAAGAGGCTGCTGACAGGAAGTTTGTAGATGTCGAAGGTACACAGAGGACAGATCTCCCGGTCTTTTATGTATACATCTATTTCAAAATGGGATTTGGGGTAGTTTTTACTAGTGTCAGAGGTTTG